TGACACAAAAGGTAAGGATAGTATTAGACTAATGACAGTTGCAAGAGAGGATTCAGTCAGGAGCTATTAACAGTTTAATTGATACACTTTTATGAAGAAGTAGGTTTTTAATGATTTTTCTAAGGAGTGGAGACTGGGTGAGCATCTAACAGAGGAGGGAAGTGAGTTCCACAGGAACGGTGCAGCCCTCGAGAAGTCTTGAAGGCGAGCATCAGAGGTGGTAGTACGGACAGAAGATAGACGGGACATACTTGTGTATTAGTGAGGATAGATAGGTGGGAGCAGCATTATGTAGAGATTTGAAAGCAAGAACCAGAATTTAAAATTGAGCCCTATATCTTACAGGAAGCCAATGTAGGGACTGACAGAAAGGTGAGGTGTGGGAGATGTGGCTGGAAAGTAAGATGAGCCTCGCTGCTGCATTCATTATGGATGGTAATGGCGCAAGTTGGAAGCACGTAAGAACACTGAGAAGCGGATTGCAGTAGTCAAGGCGAGAAAGGATAATGGAATGGACCAGCACCTTAGTCGCATTTGGCATAAGTAGGGTCGGATGCGCGCAATGTTTTTGAGATGGAAATGACAGGATTTGGCAATAGACTGAACATGAGGCATGAAAGAGAGGTTGGAGTCATAGAGAACACCTAGGCAGCGAGCCTGCATGGTGGAGCTGATGGTAGCACTATTGACTTGGAGGGAGACAGACTAGAATTTCAGTTTTGGTCAAGTTGAGATTAAGGAAGTGGGCAGCTATCCAGTTAGAAATAGCAGAGAGGCAGTCAGAGACACTAGTCAAGAGGGATGGGGAGAGATCAGGAGAGGACAGGTAGATTTGCGTGTCATCCGCAAAGAAATAATATTGGAAGCCAAAGAAGCTAATGAGTTTACCAAGGGAGGCAGTATAGATAGAGGACAGTAGGGGACCAAGGAATAAACCTTGGGGGACACCAACAGAGAGAAGTTGGGGAGAAAAAGCAGAGCAAGAGAAAGAAACACTGAAAGAGCGCTGGAAGAGCAGTGTCCAGTGAAGCAGGAAGTCAATGGGCGGGGTAAAAGGGTGGGCTACTAAAGCAAATCACGTAGCCTGCCAAAAGGGGCGAACATGCCCAAAAAGGGGACATGTTTGGCCAAAGAATTGGAGGGCCAGCCTGGCGTGAATGCATGTCAGGCTGCCTGCCAATCATGCAAGCTAGCAAACTAAGGGCATGCTATGCAGACAGCACCCTGAGCTTGGCATAAATGCATCTAATGATGCGCTCACTCAGTGCTTTCTAAGGACTGTCCCCTAGCACTCGCTGGTCCACTTGTCTCCTTACCTTCTTAATAGCAGGCAGAAGCTCCTGGTTTATAATCTGGGACAGAGAACAGCTTTATGTAGTGAGTGTAGAAGAAAGGGAACATGCTAGAAACGTGTTAGAGAGACCAAAGTCAGCATTACCTTAACTAATTTCATTGTCAGGCAGTCAACACAAGTTTTGTTCCCCATACATCCCTCTTAGGTTTCCATACTTAAGCAAGAGTGTGTGAAAAGTAGTAAGGGTTGCCACCTTTCTTGGAAAAAACATACTGGCCTTACTATTTTGCATAATTAATTATGTATGGGTGACATCACATGAAGTAAATCACAAGGAGTGACATAAGAGAAAATGCTGTAAAATCACCAAAAAAACTACTTAAAGTTTGATTCTGCTGTATAGCTGGATTGCTCCCAGTGTCTCCCAGTCTTCCACTGTCTCAGTGTCCCCTAGTCTCACATTGCCCTCATGACTCAGTGTCCCCATATGTCGATTACCCCCAGACCATGGTTATGTATATAGGCAAAAACAAGGGCTTTGGCCGACAAGTCCAATACTCTTGTGGGTTACATCCTCAAGATTTAGCAACCCTCTCTAATCCATTGGATAGTGTATAAGAATTGCATCTATCAAGGCACATTATAAACTCATAGTAGATAAAACAATCTCCCTTTTTAAGACGGCAAATACAAATTAGCCATTTGTGATTTCTTGTCAGTATTAACTTACTAAATCTGTTTTTGAGATGCTTTTCTCTTTTTTCCTTACTGACTGTATCCATTAGAAGAATTAGATTGGCTAGGACTGATAACCACTTGGGGATGGAGCAGAGCTGTGGCGAGGACACCACCATTTTGCTAACAGGTAACTACTTTTTTGGCAGTTTGAGGGGAGGTGCTGGGCTACATATGTACATAGGCGTGCGCAGCCTATTGCATAAGGGTGTGCTCCCTAAAGCACAAATAGAGTCACTGCATGTAGATGTATGTGTGTATGTATATATATATATATATATATCTATACACATATATATACAAAACACACACTCATACATACACTGCTATATGTCTGTGTGAGGGTGCTGTTAGTGTGCTGTGTATGTATGACGGTGCCGTGTGTGTGAGGGTGCTGTGTGTGTTTGTGTGTGAGTGCTGTGTGTATGTGGGTACTGTGTGTGTGTGTGTGTAAGGGTGCTGTATGTGTGAGGGTGCTGGTAGTGTGTTGTGTGTGAGGGTGCTGTTAGTGTGCTGTGTGTGTGTGAGGGTGCTGTGTGTGTGAGGGTTCTGGTGGTGTGTTGTGTGTGAGTGTGCTGTGTGTGTGTGATGGTGCTGTTTGTATGTGTGTAAGGGTGCTGTGTGAGGGTGCTGATAGTGTGCTGTGCTGTGTGTGTGTGTAAGGGTGCTGTGTGCTGTATGAGGGTGCTGGTATTGTGCTGTGTGTGTGAGGGTGCTGTGTATGTGTGTTTAAGGGTGCTGTGTGTTTAAGGGTGGTGTGTGTGTATGTAAGGGTGCTATGTGTGAGGGTACTGTGTGTGCTGTGTGAATATGTTTGGAGGGATTGTGTGTGGGGGTAAGGGGACAGATTAGGAAATAGTCCCCCTCCCTTCTTACCTTTTGTCTTGGAGGGGGTATCCTGGCTGCCATCCTTGATCCCTGGTGGTCCTAGTGTGAGCGAACTCTAGCCTGCAGGGCTATAGTTCACTAAGCGTTGCCACAGCAACGTTCCAACCTCATGAGAGGAACCCCGCGGAGCTGCTGGCAAAAGCTCCCCGGGTCCTCTCCTGCCTCCCTCCCTGCCTGTGGGCCGGTGAGGGCGATATCTGATCTCCCTCATCGGCCCAAGGAGGCACACAGCGCGGGCCGCGGGGATTAGGGTGTGCCCAGGCACCCCTTGCGCACACCTATGCATATGTATGTGTCTGGTTTGACAAAGATATGCATATGGTTAATAATGGTCAAATAGATAAGAGATTTTCAAAACTCACATATTTTGCTTTTTGCACATTGCACACAAAATTATTAGCCTATGTGTAAAAGCCAGCAGTGCAAACCATCTGTATATAATATATGGGTATGCCACATGCTTGCAATATCCCACATTTGCTAGATCTGTCAACATCAAGCTCCCTTCTGGCTATCTTCAAATAGTTAATTATGAAAATTACATTTATTGATTTACCTGCTTACAATACAAGAATTCCTTTTAGGTTTTTAGCCCGTTGGCCTGCTCAGATACAAGATTAATCTCGTTAGCCACATGTTCACAAAACAGTAGCTAAATTGCATGCAAATGCACCTCATGCAAATGCAAAACTTTTGTTATTCCTACAATTGAAGGGGTGTTACTGGAGCTGGATAGTAGTTAATAATTTAATATACTCATTAACTTACAAAACAATTCTGGAAACATGAGGCTTATTCCACACATATCATCAGTCCCCTCTAAGCTGGGTCATGCGCTGATCAGCCACAATAATAAAACCACTTGCCTAATATTGTGCAAGTCTCCCTGGTGTTGCCAAAACAGCTCAGATGCATTGAGGCATGGACTCCACAAGATCTCTGGACATGTGTTGTGGTATCTGGGACCAAGACATTAGCTGCAGATCCTTTAAGTCCTGCAAGTTGCAAGGTCAGGTCTCCATGAGTCAGATTTGTTGTTCCAGCACATCCCACATATGCCCATTTGTATTGAGATCGGGGGACTTAGGAAGCCAAGGCAGTTGCAAGTTGGGGTCTCCATTAGTCAGATTTGTTCTTCTAGCACATCCCACAAATGCTCATTTGGTATGGGTACTTAGGGGCAAGGCAACACCTTAAACTCTATCATGTTCCTAAAACCATTCCTGAACAATTTGTTGCATTGTGGCAGGGTGCACTGCCATCAGGGACTACTGCAGCCATGGAGGGGTGCACGTAGTCTCCAACAATCTATAGGTAGGTGATATGTTTTAAATTAAAATTCCTTTATTAAAATACAGTTAGTTAAAATTTCCACAACACATTTCTCCCCTTAGAGCTTTCTCAAGATGGGGACCATTTGTGACATAAATAAAGTGGATATCCACTTGAGAAAGCCATAAGGGGAGAAACGCGTTGTTGGAAATTTTAACTAACTGTATTTTAATAAAGGTATTTTGGCCACTTTCTTTGTTGTGAGTTAGCCATTTTATCTTTTTTACCATTTTTATTATTTTACTACCTGGCATCTGAGTTTTACTTGTTCCAGAGAGATACTTCTCCAAAGCATCCTTGGTGGGGATTTTACCACTTACACCCTATCATTGAGCATTGCGTCTGCCCAATTAAATGTGAGTAACAATTTGGTATTTTTATACTCTCTCCTGGTTTTATCACAGTGAGCACTATTGTTGTTTTTTATGTTACATATGGTCCCCATCTGATGAGATATCTTCTTACAACATTCCCTCATGGTATAAGTGGATATTATACTACTGTACGCTGTTTATACTAGAACTAGTTTTTAGCTCTCAAAACGTGAGTAGGACCATATAGACCTTTTTTATTGGCTGCTAGCTATTTGTGTTTTATTGCACTATTAGATTTTCTTTTCTCTTTCATACGGATCCCACAAACCCCTTGATCCTACTACTCCATAGGCGTCTCTACCTCAGATAGAACTGTGATTGTTCTCTCATCCCAAGGTTTTACTGGACTCTTTTTGGACTGTTCTATATATATATTTGTGTTAGGTGCTTAAGATAGTACAGTGTGAAATACCATGAATAAGCGTAGGATGATAAAAGGAGCAAGTCGGTTGTGGTGTGCCGAAACCGACGATGAGGTAGGCCTGAGAAAGAAGAGGGCCCACCCAGGAAAAGAAATAGAAAGGAAAATAATTGTTAAAAGTGGTGTGGTGGGAGGGTCATTCAACGCTGACCTTGAACGGTAAGGAGCCAGGCAAGGGGAGTGCCTTAAGTAGGCTAGGGGTGGAAAACCAGCACCTCCCACAAATGCAGGCAAATTGCCTTAATACTTGTGTTAGGTGCTTAAGATAGTACAGTGTGAAATACCATGAATAAGCGTAGGATGATAAAAGGAGCAAGTCGGTTGTGGTGTGCCGAAACCGACGATGAGGTAGGCCTGAGAAAGAAGAGGGCAAAAATTAAGTTATCCAATTTATTAACAGACAACCAATACATATACATTTATCAACCAGACATGTTTATGAAAGCATCTCTTAACTCTTGTACTGGGTTCGGTATGTACCGTGAGTAAGCAGATGACTTCCAGCGCCCCAGTGTTTTGATAACATGAGTTGGGACGTTGAAACTGGAGGCTGTGGACGCGGCTCCTATACGAAAGGAGTGTCCTGAGTAATTGTTTGCGTTGAGGCCCAGTTGTGTGAGCAAGGACCTGACGTAGGTCATGAAGGTTGTAGTGGTGAGTACTGCACCTTGTAGTTGTAATAACGGTTGCGAGGGCAGTAAGTGATGGTGCTGTATGTAGGCATCAAGAACTTTTACGGGACACCATCTGTTGTGCGTGGGGTAGTACGGAATGTTTACAGGTATGTGCTGGCTGGTTTTGGAGTGAGGTAAAGACAGGATGTAATGATCCATATGTTTTGTCAAGTGGGAATAGAGGAGGAATGGAGTGGTTTGGGTCGTGGAGGTCGTAGTGAATTCTCTGGGTCGTAGAAATCCATAGAAAGCGATGTATATTGCTGTTTTGATGATAGAATTCGTATTAGTGTCAAATGGTTTCAGGTCGAGTAGGTTAGATAAAGCTTTGAAGATATGGTTATCTATGGGTAGCCTCTGGGCCAAATGTGTGGGTTCTGATTTTTGAATACCTCTGAGTATGGTCTTAATTTGGTGAGAGGCCATGAAACTGTTGTTATTTGGGTGTAAGATGAGCATGTGGTGTTGAATGCCAGTGAGATAGAGTTTGATGGTGTTATATGACAATTTGAGTTTAAGGTGGCAAAAGGAAGCAAACCCCAAAAAAGATGTCATAACAAACGGTTGTATGATGTTATGTTCCAGAAGGAATCGTTTGAATAGTGTGAAAGCCCTGTTGTATGTTTTGTTTGTATTGTGTGAAAGTGCCAACTGAGACAATGTCCTGCTATGCTGCATGATGACGTCTAGTCCAGTATGAGTTGTTGAAATGTTGGAGTGATGGTGGCTGTGGGTGCTGCTGACGGGAGTGCTTGATGAAACTCCTGAAATTTAAAGCGAGACAAACTGTCAGCAGCTGTGTTGTATACACCTGGCACATGGAAACAACATAGGAAGAAATTATGACAAGCTGCCAACCAAGTGAGTTTCCTCAGAAATCTCATAATCGTAAGAGATTTGGAACGACCTTTGTTGATGATGTGACAGGTCGCCTGGTTGTCTGAGTAACAACGTACTGGTGTATTAGCCCATAAATGACCCCACGCTACGGCAGCCGCCACTATGGGGTAGATCTCAAAAAGAGCTGAGGTAGTGGAAAAACCTTCCAAATCCAGAACTGCTGAAGGCCAGCTGCCCCAAAGCCATTCGTTCCCAAAAATTGCTGCAAAACCAGTGGTAGATGCCGCATCTGACCAAATGGTAGGAGATGATTCAGTCAATTGAGGGAGGAACATACTTTTACCATTCCAAGTGGTTAAAAACCTCTTCCACATGTTTAGATCTGCCGTAGCTTGGGCATCTAAGGACAACCTGTGCGTGTCATGTAGAAAAAGTGGGAAAAGATGCAATAGTCGTGAAATAAAGGAGCGGCCTTGAGGTATGATGCGCATTGCAAAATTTAGTGACCCCAGCAGGGACTGTAGTTCTTTGCGATTGCAAGTGCCGAGCTGTAGGTAGTTGTTAATGTAAGTGAGAATATTGTCTATCTTTTCGTAAGGTAGGCTTGCTTGCATTGTGGCAGAGTCTAACTGGATACCCAGAAAAGTGATAACCGTGTCTGGCCCTTCTGTTTTCTTTGGGGAGATGGGTACACCTAGTTGCTCAAACAGCTTAGTGGTAGCTTTGAGGCTAGTGGGAGGTGCAGTATTCTCCTCGACCAGTAGGAAATCGTCCAAATAATGTAATACTGTAGGGCATCCGGCTATGTTCAATAGTAACCAGCATAGTGCTTCGGCAAATGTGTCGAAAATAGCTGGGCTACTTTTGGACCCAAAAGTTAACCGGGAGAAAAAATAGTAGTTCTCGGACCACTTGATGCCATGCAGGTGCCACAGTGTGGGGTGGATAGGGAGTAATTTGAAGGCGTTAGTAATGTCGGTCTTACTGAGCCAGGCTCCCACCCCTGCTTGTATGATGGCTGTAATGGCGTGATCTATGGTGGTGTATTGCAGAGAGAATTCCTCAGAGGGTATGAGGGAATTAAGACTGGGGTTCGGCCGATGAGTGGGGAGCCGATAAGTCAATGATGAGTCTCTGTTTTTGGGAAGATTTCCCTGTGACAATACCAATAGGGTTGGTGCGCCATTCTGTGAATGGGGGAGTTCTAAAAGGCCCCAATACAAAGCCCTCCTCCACTTCTTGGTTTATGAGGGTGTCAACCACTGTGGGGTTGTGTTGGGCGGATTGTAGGTTTGGGCATTCCAGAGTGCCAGCTGGTATGTGTAGGATACCTGTGTGGAAGCCTTCTGTCAAACCAGAAATAAGAAAATCTACCAGGTGTCTAGATGGGTGCTGAGACATCAATGCTGTGAATACTGGCATATTAATGGACGTAAGGTAAGGCTTAGAATACATTTTATTTGGACACATGGTCTTAGCATGTGCCCTAAAACATTTTGAACAGACATGCAATAGTCTACATCCACTGTAATTACAAGACCCAACATTGAAATTATTACATATCTGGGACTTGCCCAGAAACTTGATTGGGCGTCCCAATTTGTCTGTGGATAGTTTCCCTGGATCCCCAGAGGAAGTAGTTCCTTGTGTGGAGGCATGTCCGTCTGCCGTGTTTGGACAAAAATTAGTAGTATGGGCTGTGGAGCAGCAGTATGCACAAGCTGGTGTTCTTAGACCTGCAAAGTGTCTGCAGAATAAGACGGTATCAATCCTTCCCCAGTTGGACCGTGTACCGTACTGGGAGAAGGCTCCAGCCACTTTTGCAGAAAAAGACCTATGGTAGTCATAGAATGCTGAACCACCATATTTGTTGCCCAGGTCTACCAGCTTGTGCATATAGAGATCGAACTCCTCTCTTCTGTTGGGATAGACCGCACAGACGACATCCCTGTAAATACCAAATGCTAGAACAAATTCAGGGATAGTCAGTTTTCTGTTTAGGCGGGCATCCCTAGATCTGACAATAACAGAAACATCATCATAAGCATACGTTTTATGTTCCACAATGTCCTGGGAGGCAATCAACAGGGAAGCCAGGTTGACGTCTTTACCTTCCAGGATATCCCTTTTGATATGCTCAGGTATCATGTGGGCCGGGCTAACTTCCTGGTCATCCAGGGGGCTGGCTGGAGCGACTAATGGCAAGGCTGGTGTTTGTACTGCAGCCGCGGTTGGCCCTGCTAGAGTGAGGGCCGTGGTGACCGACTCAAGTTTCTCCAGCCTGGAGTTGACCTTGCCCATGGATGCCATGAGTGAGGATAACATGGCATGTATGTCCCCTGGGTTGGACTGGCTAGATCCTTCCCCGGCTTCCATGTTATTGGTTGACGTGCGTAGCAGTTTGAAAAGTTCTGCCTTCCTTGCTGTAGCGGGGTAGGGGATTTGTCGTCTCCTTAATTCCGTGGTTATGCGCGGGATTGTCCAGGATCTAATTGATGCTGGACTAGCTAGCTCTCCTCCTTGTGTGGGAGTGACAGCTCTAGCCGGGGTGCTAGGCAGGGAGAAATCCTCTACCCCTTCCTGAGACATACTATAAATAAAACAATAATTAGTATATAGAACCACCAAATTGTACTGGCAGGCTAGCTAGGCCAGATGGCGAAAGTATTATGCTTGTTTGGTGACAGGTGAGGCCCTACTAGTTGCCAAGCGGCTTGAGAGGCTCTATTTATGCGTTGGCGCGAGGGGTTATTGAGGCCACTTGACGTAGTTGCAGGAGTTTTAGGCCTCTCGGTGACCGTACGACAGAAAACAGGGGAAGGGAGTGACAGGTGAGGCCCTCTCTTTGCAACATGCGAGGCGGCTAGCTAACGTGTGGCCCGATGGGTGTTTGCCTCCGAAACGTTTGAGGCGGGGTGTTGGCCTCGCGGGACCACTAACTGATGGCGACAGCCAAGACGGGGTAAATACCTATTGGGAATCCTGTGACCCTATTGCCAGTACTCTAAACTAGGGGGATGAAATGAAATGTATGGTAGAATACCATATGAGCAGGTGTACGTACCTGGTAGTATGATAAATCACAGGAATAAACCGTGTGGAGCAACTATATAAGCTCGACAGCCTAAAAATGGGTAAAAGAGAGTAGTACGATGAGTGTGGGGTATAACAAGAACCAGACTTATAGTCTGTAGCAGCAATGTATAAAATTATGTTGATACCATGGGAATAGCTACGAGTGGCTCAGAAATGTTTGCATGCTTGAAAAAGACATCTGAGGGAGGCCGTGGCCTATGTACAAACAATCTATGTGTTACGTGATAATGGTGTGTAAAGGAAAACATGAAACGTAGGTTATATACATATGTATTATGACTGTGTAGGGGACGTATGATTGGTTGGATCAGGACGTGTGATCCAACCCGAGTATGCATGCAAAAGGACTTATGCCTTGTGTGTCATCGTCATGACAGAGAAATAAGGCCTGTAATGTAGGCTGAGTAAATTTAAATGAAATGGATAGTTATAAAACTCCTGGCGTGGGAGTTCAATGACCTGTACCGAAATGTAACTGGTTTTATAGAAAGGGACATGGATGAGGTCATGGCCTAATTAACACATCGTTGTGTATGATATGTAGCAGAAAGACCAAAGGCAGGGATACCCCAAAATGATTTAGCATGATGTAAAGTGATGTAGATCTATATGATATGTATGTATAGCAAAGACGTATCAACCCGAGAATTATTGCTTAAATGAACCTATCCTTGTATGTATTGTATTAATAACCCAGAAATGAGGCTTGTGACATGGCTGAGTCCATACGTATAAATG